CTCCCGAGCTGCCAGTACCAGCCAGGAGGGGCACGGATCCAACAAACATGTGGTTGCGTTCAGCCCTCCCAAGACCCTGTCCACGTCCTCGGGAGCAACAGAGTCAAACTCCTCCCACACAACTGTCTCAAGACCTGCTTCCGTCCCCTCCCCCTGGGCCAACCAGTCAGAGTCCAAGCCTTCCCGGATCCGCGCGACTACCCATCCAAATCATTTTAATAGGAGCCAGGCTGCAGGAATCTAAGTGCCTCAAATTTCAGTGTTCACTACTGGACTTGACATTATTCACCTAAGAACAAACTTCCCAGTTAATCATTTTCTTTCACTAAATTAATGGTCAAGAAATGTTCCTGTTCTTGCTGACTTCATATCTCTTGTCTGGCCGGCCGGCTGGCACAAAACCTCACCACTCTTCTCCTCAGCGGTGGCAGCCTAATGGACCTAAGCAAGCTGCTGGTGGCGCCGGCCTGAGGCACAGGGGGAACGGGGAGGATTTTTGCTGCCAGACTCTTTAACTTCTTAAAAGTTTACTTGATGCAGAATGCATATCCTTCCCTTTCTGCATCAAGTTAAACAGTCTGGTAGTGAAAATCCAATAGTGGGGGGAAAATCCCAGTCTCATGCATGGGGACTCTGCACCGCCTGCCTCCCCCCCCCCCCCGTGCCTCGGGTCGGCACTGCCAGCAGCTCGCGCAGGTCCATTAGGCTGCCGCCGCCACCCGGACACCTGGCCCGCCCAGCACAAAGGAGGCAAAATGGCCAGCTAGCAAGCCCATGGCCAGCAAGCCAAAAGCCACCCATGGCCCCCCAGTCCCAGCCAGGATTGCGTGCCTCCCCCCGTCTCTGCTGGGCCTGGGCAGCCATGACGCCGATGGGGATCCGGCTTTCCCCGCTCCGGGTAGCCTTTTGCCTGCTGGGCGTGGGTGTGCACCTCTACGTGGTGCTTGCTAGCCGGCTGTTTTGCCTCCTTTGTGCTGGGCGGGGCTGCTGCTCTGGGCGGCGGCAGCCTAATGGACCTATGTGAGCTGCTGGCAGCAGCAGCTGCATGCGTGCCCACAGAAATGGCTCTGTGTGCCGCCTGTGGCACACGTGCCATAGGTTCGCCACCACGGACCTAAATTAATCAAAGTGAGTGGATGGGATTATATAGCATGAGCACACAGTGTATTGCTGTATTATATAGAAAGCTACTGTGAGTCTTGAAAATATTAGAGTTCAGAACTATTGGAGCAGAGAAAAAAAATTCAAGAAACAGAAGTAGACATACTTCTACAACTTAGAATCATCTTTTACAAAAGAAAGAATGCTTAAGAACTTCACAGGGTTTTTGTTTTTTAAGATCAGATGTACTGATGCAGAATTCATAAATTTAAAATGTTTTTAAAAGTTGAAAATTCAAAATAAAGTGAAATTTGATGTAAGATTCTCCAGATTAAATAGTAGTATCAAGGTCCTTTTTGAACTGACAATCAACAATCAGTTCATTAAAAGCCTCCAGGTTTCACAACTATCCCACCTCCACCCTCCAAAATATATATATATATATATTGTTCTAGGAAATACTATAACCAAGAAAACTAGCAACAGCAAACTCAAGGAGGATTATACTCTTCTGAATTTGATATTCTCTGAAGAAAAAAATATTGAATCTCATATCAGGTAGCTTATTCACAGGTTTATTCCAAGTGGTGGCATGTATTTATTGTACAGTTCCTTAGGAACATAGGTAACAAAGGATTTTGAATTAGGAGAGGAAGAACAAAAAGTTAAATATACAAAAGGACAATAACTGATATTTTAAAACACTAACAGAATTATAATTCATATTTCTTCTGTTTTCTCACTGCCAATCTTTAAGTACCTATACTTCCTACTCTCAGGGATTAGACAAAATATTCAGATGATTAAAGGGACAAAGTGATAAGAGATCTTCTGATTATATTCCTCTTTTCTGTTTTCTAAGATGTGTAAACATTACCATATTCCCCAAAACATGAATACCTATTAAGTAAGGGGAACAAGAGTGACAGATTATATTTAGGATGTTTCACAGTGCCAGCATTCAATCATCTTCAGAGTTAATTTTCAAACAATCATATTTCACTACATTTGGAAAGAAAGTTTCTTATATTACCCAAATAGTCCTACTTCTCTTTCACATTGTTGATGTATCATCATTTCTGGTTCAGTTTAGAGAGCACAGGAAATTTTGCCCAGAAATTACACAAAACAAGTCAAATGAAAATTAGGAAGAGACAAAAAATTAAATATTGGACTTAACCATCCAGAAAAGCTGAACACCATCTATTTTAATACGGAGGGCTGAAATAGTCAGGGTTTCACTTTCCACATTCTTGCAGTTGGTATTTCTTGTCACCTTCAAACAGTCTTATTTGTTCTCCAGGTAGCAAAAAAGGTGACATCACATCTATTTGACTTTTTCTTCAATCTTGCAAAGAACCAAGGTAAAGAAAATGCTACAAACAATGAGAAAGACCACTAGGTAATACTCTGATGAAACACTGCCTTCCTGCTGTTCCTTCAATTTAGTTTCTGGGATCAGGTTACACCAGATGATTTTATGGAGTAATCCTTATTATCCTAAGGATTTTTTTTTTGAATCTGCAAAGAAGCAACAAGACTATCAAATGTGGTTATTAATATTGGTTGTGATGTCCAAATTTTAAAAGTAGCAAAAAAAAAAAAGACATTTTTAAGAACACCACCACCTTTGCCTTCCAGCTGAAAAGGATGAGGGGACAAGGCCATCAGAATTTATCATGCAGGCTGGGAAAATACCCAAACTCAAAGGTTTTTTTCCACACTTCCAGCAGTGCAACAATGTCTCTCTTTTAGAGGATAATACACTTTCTTTTAGAAGATTTCTTCTTGCGTCCATTGCTGATCTTTTCTTTGTGCTTTCGAATTTCCCGCACCAGGGTATAGAAGGCATCTTCCACTCCCTTTAGATGAATAAAAATACAAAAAGTGGAGAAAGATGTAACAAAAGGTTTTATTAGTACTTTTAAAATTATATTAGCTATTTCAGGTGCATTAATTTTTATGAAGTGGGATTTCAAACCCACATTTAGGCAACAAAAATTATCAATACAAAGATCCCAAAGTAAGAAATACCTGGATTCTAGCTAACTTTTCTTAGGCTGTTACCTATAGGTAGAATTATTTGGATGGGGGGGAAAATCATTGTTTTTATGTACTGTAGCCTTGTTTATTCTCCCCACTAATTTATTTAGTAGTGAATAACCTAAGATACAATTTATTATCTATATTCAGAAACCTTTCTCAAACAGGGAATGTGTAGTAGCAGAACAATATGTTGATAAACATCTCTCAATAAGATGTACATGAAATGAGAAGATTGACATAAATCATTACAAGGGTAATTTTATATGAATTTTATTTCTACCCTCTTAGGTATAATCCCACTGCTTCAGTATTAGCACAGCTACTGTAAAGCAAAGCAATTGACATTTGGCCTACTTGGTGATTAACATATAAATAATGAGGCTGTGAAATCAGACTGAAATATAGCAGTTTATCCTACTTGCACAATACCACACCTGTCTGGTTTTGGCCGAAGTCTCTACAAAGGGGATTCCATAGCTTCTTGCAAGCTCCTGAGCTTGTTTAGTATCCACTGTTCGAGAAGGCAGGTCACACTTATTGCCAACGAGGACCATGGGCACATCATCAGAATCCTTCACACGATTGATCTGTTCCCTGGAGTTACGTAAGAGGAAAATGTGAACATGGTGCTTCTGAATAAATCAACAGTTCCTAAAGTCAATCCTGAGTTTCCTAGATTTGAATGAAATATATTCCAGTGCTTCACTTTGCCCTGTGTGTTCTCTTATATTTAAAATAGATGGACTGAAATCCAGATTACATGCAATATACATTAGAAATACAATTGCCTTTCCCTCAATTTTGGTGCTTTAGTAATCAAAACCATGAGTCCAAATGGAGGAATGATAGCATGGGGTGGGAGGTCCTGAATACTTTCTCTTTTAAACCCTTTGCTGCTTTAAATCCCATCCCACCAAAAAAACAAAAAACCCAACTAAGTTATTTTGAGCAAAAAATATCTTTGTCAGATCACAGAACAGTTCTTATCAATAAGGTGTTTATATATGCAATTAGAAGTGCAAGTAGTCTGGCTTTAAAGAACAGGCTGAGACTTTCAAAATTGAAATAAAAAATATGAAGTAACCGTATTTCCCTTATATATGGCCAATGAACTGTTCTATTTTAGTCTTTTCTACTCTACTTGCATTCTCTTTCTCTCTCTCTCTCTCTCTCTCTCTCTCCCCCCCCCCCCCTTGAATTTGGAGTTGGCTTGCTGCTCATTTAGTTTTCTGGAGAAATCCTGTTTTTTTGTTTTGGAAGAGACACTTTAAATGAATGTTTGCATGACACACAAAATGAAGTTTCATATTTTCATATGATTTTTATTAAAGGTTTTCGTAGAAATAAAAAAGCATGAAATGATATAAAGATTAAGAAAAAATAGGAATAGTACAAATGGGGAAAAAAGCTACATGAAGCAGCAATTTCTAATCTTTTTGGCAGTTACAAATGTAGCATCTCTTTGCCCTCTTTAAAATTACACCATAATACAATTCTTCCCTTAGTCATTCTTTTTTAATCAGCAATATTACCAATTAATTTTTTCCCCATTCTTTGTAAAAAAAATCTGTAAGAGGTTTCCAGTCTTAAAGTTCCATCATATTTTCAGTATTAGAGAGGTTTTAGGTACTCTTGCCATCATTGCTACTGGAGAGAAGCTAACAAAAAAAGAATAGATGCTGACTGATGGACCACAGAACTTTACTTGTCCTCTTACCTATAGTGGTGCACATCTTCAAAAGACTTTGTATTGTTGATAGCAAAGACACACAGGAAGCCTTCTCCTGTCCTCATGTACTGATCACGCATGGCACTGTACTCTTCCTGCCCAGCTGTGTCCAGGATATCTAAAAGGCATGTCTCTCCATCGATCACCACCTGCTTCCGGTAGGAATCCTGAATTCAGAAGCACACCCACACAGAGAGAAAAATGTAACACAGGAGAAACATGGGAGAAGAAAAAAACAAAAGGCAGAAACAAGGCAATACTTTGTCACAACATTACTGTACATAAACATCTCCAGTTACCAGGAAAAAAAGGAGTCAGTCTTGAAGAAGCGAAAAAGATTGTAGCAGTTTGATGAAGTGATGAGCATCCTTTTGCTAGTCAGAATTTATACCTAACCCTAACCAAGATTTTTGGCTTTTTTCTGAGCTTTTAGTTTTTTGGGGGGAGGGGGTTAAACTGTTAAGCCTATTGAGCATGTTAATCCTAACTTCAGAGTATGTCTTTCCCCAAAGAGCTAAGGAAATGAGCAATTGTAGGGGAGGAGGGCAATGGTTCTCCCCCCCCCCCAAAAAAAGAGGGAAAGAAGCTTTCTTTATTGGTCAAATTTAGATATCATCCATATCATTCTCAGAGTGAGCTAGATGGTGTACAGTTAAAAGCTTAAACACTATATATATATATATGTACATGTATACACACACACACACAATGTATACACATGCACATATATATACACACATATATAGTATGTATGTGTGTGCGTGTGTGTGAGATAGATATACCATACATCTGTAATGTCTCGGAGGCTACAGCGAGACTACTGGCGCCGCACAACGTGAAAGTTGCACACAGACCCAACCGGACACTCCGGGCCGCAGCCATGCGCCCCAAGGACCCACTCCCCAACGTGGAGAAGTCGGCAGTCGTGTACAGAATCGACTGCAGAGACTGTTCCAGCAACTACGTTGGGGAGACCTCGAAGAGGGTGAGAACTAGGGTCCATGAACACAAGTTGGCAATAAAACGGGTCGAATGTCACTCCCAAATATGGGCGCACATGGCGGAGTCCGGCCATCAGTTCGACTTCGACAATGTGCGCGTCTTGGCTAACGACGGCATGAAAGGGGGACGTTTGCTCAAGGAGGCTTGGCTCTCGGACAGGGATTCAATCAATCGGCATGTGGATCTCTGTCCAGCGCATTTAGCGCTGAGAGCTTGGAGCACAAGTAGCAACCCCCCATCTGGCTGGAAGCGCTGCAACGGAGCACCGAGAGCGCCAGTGGAACCAACAGAGGGCACCGCGGGAGGAGCGTCGCTTCCCCCCCAACCGCCCCTGAACATCTGGGCACCATGGGGGCCGTGGGCAGCGAGTCCCACAACGGGGAAATGTATGCAACCCCGAAGGACGCAGAGACCGACGATGAGGGAGAGCATGGGACTGACGACTGACCTTCCAGGAGCCCCCTCCCCCCTCCCCCGGGGACGCTGGTGTAAGGCGGCGCCCAACGAGGCGATGACGGGGAAGCGGGGCTGTCAAACATCCCCGGCTGGGGCCAGTGACAGCAGCGCGGGGGGTGGACGCAACGCCCCGGCTGAGATCGAACCATACGGGGACGACAGGACGGAGGTCGATAGGGAGGGAGGGGACCCCAGGAAGAGGGTTACTCGATTGCGCATGAGAGAGGAGGGGAGGATCCCTCTGAGCCGCCCGGCGACCCGACCACCCCACTCCGCAGCGCCGTTGTGCTCGAGCCAACGGGTAGCACGGGGCAACCCCCTGGGAGCCAGTGACCGAGCTAGGAACGGCAGACAGGAAGGGGGGAGGGGGGCTGACGAGAACGAAGGGAAGGGAGAGGTGAAAGGGGTGGGAGACACGATCAGCGAAGAAAGAGGGGGAAGCGCGAAGGTCGGTAGGGAGGAAGAGGGCCCCAGAAAGATAGTCACTCGATCACGCACGGAGAGGAGGAACTCGCCGAGCCGCCCTGTGGCAGCGGCCCGACCCCCCCACCCCGTAATCCCGTCGTGCTCGAGCCAACAAAAAACACGGAGCAGCCCCCCGGGAGCCAGCGACCGAGCTAGGAACGGTAGACAAGAAAGGGGGAGGAAACGACCCGGACAGGATGGCATTGCCAGGGGGGGTGGGTACGGGGGTGAGGAGAAGGGGGCTGACGAAGGGAATGAAGGGAAGGAGGAGGCGAAGGGGGAGAATGAATCTAGCCAGCCCAGGTGGGGTGAGTGGAAGGAAGACGGGGGTGGGTTGCTGAGAGGCACAGGAGATACGGGAGACGGGATCAGAGAAAAAAGGGGGGAAGCGCCCGTAAGAACGGCAGCGAGGTGGCTGGGACCAGATGGACTCCAGGAAAGGGAATAGGCACCCCGAGCCGGGTGGATTCGATCGCTACAGGGAGCAGGAGGGCAAGATCACACGGGCAGGCGGAGCGGGGGACACGGCCGAGGAGAGCAGGAGGGGGGAATGTCCCACCCACCCCCTGCCCGGGTAAAAACGAGTTAGGTGAAGGCGAACGTACGGGTGAGGGTTGCAGGATAAGAACAGCCAGCGGGGGGGAAACCACCGCTAGAACGCAGCCTGTGCAATCAGGGCCAGTGACGAGGTCCAGGGGCCGTGTGCAGGCCTCACTCAACCTATAAAAGACTCTCCCATGGACTGGCTTCTTAAGCCCTGATGATGTCAGCAGTGGAAGCTGACGAAAGCTTGGCGTTTGTTTATTGGTATTAAACTCTTATAGTTTGATGATTTTACCCTGGTGTTCACTTTTATTTATTTATTATTGGCATGGATGCACCCAGGGATCACGTTTTTAGTGTAATTATTAACATATATATATGAATGAATGCTTTTTTACTTTGATGCACCCTGTCGGCCCAAATATGGGAGAGAGAAGTCTTTTGCCTGTATCAGCTCAATCTAGAGCCATCCACAGGCAGCAGTCGCTTAACTGCGACAACATGTGTTCCAATCCAAATTTTGAAATATAAATATATATATATCAATAAAAGCAGCCAGATAAAGCACCGAGCAACTTTGAACTGTGCTATCTTGTATTAAAATATACTGCTCACAAAAATAAAGGGAACATTTTACCATGGAACTGAAGGGGTTTGCATTCCCTTTATTTTTGTGAGCAGTATATATGTAGCTCATTAAAAAAGGATGCAGCAGGAGTGAGACATTCACAATTTTGTGTTTTAAGAAACCTAGGAAGGACAATGGAACAGATGGCAGAATCAAAGAGCAATGAACTCTTTGAGTAAGACAGAATAAGAGAATGCGGACACTGGGCAATTCAAAGGTCAGTGCCAGTGCTGCAGTGATTATATACCTCTATAGTGGGATCATATTCATCCACGAAATGATTCTGGATTAACTGTATGGTTAATGCACTCTTTCCAACGCCACCAGCACCCACAACTACCAGCTTATATTCCGTCATTTCTGCTGGGCTCCAGGACAAACTAAAGGAAAAAAAAGAAAATTAAAACCAACAGAAGACACTACAGTAAATTCATTTTTTTCTCAGTATTCATGTGATCTTAAAAGTCACATTTGGGCAACAATTTCTGAATATTTGCTGCTATTTCTTTCTGAGAATCAATGGCTTGCACTAGGCTAGGGTAAGCAGATAGAGTTTGGTGTTGTTTGAATCAGACAATAGCAGTACAAGATCAGAAGATGTGAAGAGACCTGGTCCATAGAATCACCAAGAGTCGGACATGACTGAATGGATATCATCATCATCATAAAGAGGTTTCTTGTCATTTAACTTAGAAAAGCTCAAGACACCAGGATTTCTACCCATCTCTTATGAAAACAGGAATCTCTTCCAAAACTGGAAAGAGGGAAGCCTAACCTTCCACTAACAATTCTGTTATCTCCAAAATTCTTATTCTGGGAGGATTTCTTTCACTTTTTGGCTGGTATAATTACCCGTCCCATTCCCTTTGTCTCTTGGTTTTTCCTGTGAGGGTGTGGCCATTTCTTTGGTGTCCCTTTTTCAACACAATTTCTGTAATTTCTGTCTCTTCTATCTCTATTCCTTTATCTGTGCCCACTATAATTTTGTTTGTACCTGCTACTGACTGGTCCTGTACGCTTACCCATCTGTATCTTGCTGACTATAGTATGTATTTTTGACACATGCTCACTTTCCTGTTCATGTCTGTGTTAAACAGAAACACTTTCAACAATTTTGGAGTGGATGCATCACATGGCAGCCTGTGTGCATCTCCCTGCAAAATAGATGAACCATACATATATACATTTGCCCACAGGTAGTAAAAAGCAAAATGAGATGGGGTATAGCTCCATGGGTTCTTACTATTTCTTTACACAGTACCTTTAAGGGTATGTTTACAGTATGTTTAACAGATTGATTAGCATGGAAGTCCCTTTCAAAGGTTAAGAGAGAGAAGGGAAATAAAATAGTGGGAGACAGTTATGTTTGGGTCATCATCCTTTTAGCCATTGTCTATCCACTGCAGGATCAAGGTCTCTTCCACGTGTTTCCAATCAATATGGTCCTGAGCTTTCTTTTGCAATTGGACCCACAATACTTGCTGATGTCATCAATTCTTCTTGTTTTAGGTCTCTTTCATGGATGCTTTTTATCGAGTGGGATCCATTCTATGACTGCCTGGGTCCACCTGCCCATTTCCATGTTTTTATGTTCGGGTATGGCACAGAAACTAAAGGAGTTACCAAAGGCTCCTAAAGGTTTGCATTTCATGGAAAAATATAGAGACAAAGACCAATGGAATCCAGAGCTGCTGATTTTTCAGATGTCTCTTTCCTCCTGTGCAGAAAGTAGCTTCATTGACAAGTTAACAAGTCTAGACCTGCTGAATCAGCGCACCTGCAAAACGCAAGGCGTGCAGTCGCCACTTCCCATAAGGAAGGCGAGCGGCCACCGAAGTCAGCTTATTAGCAGCATTCCGAATCGCAGACTTCTTCCCCTGGGGGGGGGGGGGGGCAAAAGCGAGCACCGCCAAGCAAAGCCAGCTTATGGCCCGCGAGCTGGTACTGTACTGCAAGAGCCTCCCCTCCGCCGCGCGCGCAGCAACCCAGTCTATCTCAATTGCCAGGATTCCCAAACAAGGGCCCCACCCTGGTGCAGCCCTACAATGGCTGCCCTCTTTAAGGACTTGGGGAAACTCCCCCACCGGCACCTCCAGAATGAAGCTTCAGCCTCCCTTTCCCTTCGTCCCCGACCATCCCAGCGCTCCATTCCTTAGCGCAACTCTTCGTGCAATTAAATCAATGCTTCCCCCCCCCCCCCCCCCCCCCCCCCCCCNCCCCACCCCACCCCACCCCACCCCCGCCGTACGGACTCACCCAACCCGTAGAAAGGGGAAGGAGAACCGCACTCAGGCACCCCCCATGGGGACAGAAGGCTAGCGGTGTCGGGCGGCCTCCTTCTCCAAGGCCAGGGCCTAGGGCCGGCAACGAAAGACCCCTCCCTCTGTAGCCTGACAGCTCCCTTCCGCGCCCGGCCACGCAGGGCCGCCCAACCAATAGGCTGGAGGTACCGCCCCAGAACGACCAATCGGAGACGCCGATACCATAGAGACGAGATAAATGGGTCAGGGTAGAGGAGCTGCTGAAATGGCAAGGGCGGGGACCTGAGAAGAGAAAGCAAGAGCGTCAGCAGGAAGTGGTGCGAACGCGGCAAGAGTCTAAAAAGAAGAGCCTCTTTTCCAGTGGTCCCCCCCCCCACCTACGGTACTAGCAAATGAGCCAGCGGTGGAAGTTAAAAGCGGCGAATGCGATAGCGGTAGCTGAATGGAGCTTCTGTATGAAGAGTAGTCTACCTGCACCAACCGGGAAAATTATGGTCACTCCCAATTTACATCTTCTAAAAGCCTGGGCGGTATCGGATTTACATGGCCCCATAAAGCAGCAGTTCTATTTGTGAGATGTAAAAAGCCCAAATTTTGATACTCACAATACGAAGACAAGTCTGGTTAACAAAACAAAGGTTTATTGGAGAATAACATAAAAAGAATAAAAAGAGAAGAGAAGCGTTTGCAAACGGGCCTCCTGGATCCTTCCCTAATGGATTGGTTTCCAGGAGCACCCTGGCCTGGTTTCAAACTCTGCATCTTATAGCTCAATGCATGCCACATCTAAGAAGCTCTTTCATCTTTATAATGTCCTTTGAAGTTGTACTTAGTCATCCTGACCTCTTCCACCCATCTGCTGTTATCTTGTTTATTTGTAATTTTCACCTAGGGCCAAAATCCCCCTCTTTGATAGTGATTTCTACTCAAAGTGTAAGTTCCTGTGTCCGGAGGATTTTTAGGCAGTAAACATTGAACAAACTTTCTCACACATTTGGCAGTGCATTGCTACATTTGCGTTACAGTGTTACATTTGTGTTAGACAGTCTCATATATTGGCATTACATTTCTACAATTATTTTTCTACAATTTTATAAAAGAATAACTTTTACTTCCTTCATATTCAAAGAAAAACAAATTCAAAGAAAACCAAGAAAGTCCAGTTGCCTCTTGAAAAAAGCACCTTTGGGAGAGCCGTTCTATTGTTTTCCCTTAGCTGTGTTTTACCAGCTACAGAATTTATTTCATTGGCGGGTATTCCATTGTTTCGTTCATCTATTCTAAGGAGCCTTTGCCCACGTGGAAATTAATTTAAAAAACTCCTTTGAGAAGACACTACTTGTTCTGTCCCCGTTCCGACCCACACACCCAAACAGCCAGCCGAGAGTTAAAGACTTCTCCAGACACCACTTCACAGATAAGAAACTTGGCAGCAGCTCCGTAGCTGCCTGCCAAGACCTTTTACTCCAAACACACAGAAACAAAAACAATACACAGTTGAAAGCCACAGCACACTACTTTGCCAGAGATTCAGCTTTTGTCCGTCACAGAGGTCCAAATGGCCACCACCACCCTTTTATAGCCTGTGGGGTGTGGTCCAGTGACTCAGCTTAATCTCTGGCACGTCTCTTTTTCTGCTGCGCACGCTTATCGCTCCTACGCTGGCATGGATCCAGCCACAACTTTTCTTCCTCATTATCTGACACACCTGGCTCCTGGCCAATCTGAGAAACACCGGGCTTCTGGCCAATCTCTGAACCACCTGGCTCCTGGTCAATCTCTTCTCCGTCGGAAGACACCTGAGGCATTGCCAAAGAGGAGGGTCCTGGAGAGGGAGGCCTAGCCATCTCCTCTCCTTCATGTTCGGAGCCTTCTTCCTCCGATAAGAGGGGCTCACAAGACGGAGCCACAACACTACTTCCCCATCTACAACGGTGGAGGCTATTGTGAGATGTAAAAACCCCAATTTTGATACTCACAATACGAAGACAAATCTGGTTAACAAAACAAAGTTTTATTGGAGAATAACATAAAAAGAATAAAAAAGAGAAGAAAAGAAAAAGGCGTTTGCAAATGCGGCCTCCTGGATCCTTCCCAATGGAGCGCAACAAACAGTTTCCAAGCTTTGCATTTTATACTTTTTACAATGCACGTCACATCTAAGAAGCTCTTTTCAACTCCATAGCCATTCTTTGAAGTTGTTTTTACACTTAATAGTTCATCCTGACAATTTCCTTCCAATTTCCATCCATCCAGGTCATAATTCATTATCTTTGCTGATTACCATTTGTGGTTACCATTTGTGGTCACTCTACATAGGCAGGAAGCAGTAAACATTCCTTTTCATACATTGGCATTGCATTGTTACATTTACACTACATTAATACATTTGTGCTAAACATACAGTCTCATACATTGTTACATTTGGGCTTTATTTTTACATTTAATAAAAGAATAACTTTTATTTCCTTCACTATGTTATATTGTGTATTGTGTTCGGGGGAGGTGATGAGTTTTCTTGGATTTTTTGATTTTTTAAGCTGCTCTGAAGCTGGAAGGATTCAGTGGGATGAACATTTAATAATAAAAATTCTATCTCAGAACAGGCTTTGGGTATGGATGTTTTTAGGCAATAATTCCATCATTCCTTAATCATCACTGGTATCTGGAAATTATCAAATTGAAGAAAGTTATCCTAAAGGGTGAGCTGAGGGATAGGAGTTTTGGGCTACATACTCCTATCTGCAGGCAACTGGGATCCAAACTTGCACATATGCTGAGACACTTAGTATGCCCAGCAAAATGTTATCTGCCACCTTATACAAAATAGGTTTGCACTGAGCACTTACAATTGTGTTATTACACCCAATCTCAAAGTATTTTGGCCTTCCTGTTGAGTTGGTTTAGTCTACCTGATGGGACTGACCTCAGTCTTACAAGTTTCATTGTCATTGTGCCTCCTCCTTATTCTCAATGAATTGGGAAAGTGTCTGCCTGAACCACTTCTGAATGTTTTCTTGTAGTTCTGGACTTAAAAAAAAAATGCTTCAAACTGTTGGTAGAAATTCTAGCCCACTGAATAACACCAAACAGCAAGTTGAAATTAGAGAGATTTATTGGATACAACGGTTTGCAAAGCGTGGTGGACTCCAAATAAATATTTGAGCCACACCTAGTCACAACAAAGACACACATTATATACATTCTATCCCGATGCCTTGGCCCCTCCTCTGAGGTTACAATCTTATCAGAGCCGCCTAAACAAAATACATTATCCCTGCCCCTTACTATTTTGCTTCACCTATT